AAACCATGGCCAAAGGATATGCTAAGGATGCTTTCTTTTAGCCTCGTCCCCCACCATCGTGCGCTGTGTAGCCAAATCGAGTGTCGAGCGGCAGCCAAAACGCTTGAAAAAATAGAAATTTACACAAAAGATGGCATTGGCAAAACTGTTGTAGAGCCCGAGGGGTGAACGGGTATGGGATAGTAGAAGACTGGGTTAGGAATTTGCGAAAGCTGCGCGAATCGAAGTACATATAACCCTATATATATGGAGAGGAAATTCGCATTAGATAGCGCGCGAATATTATTTTTAGTATGGCTTCTCTTTGCTCGCCTTTAGATAGAAATTTTGCATTGAACATCAATTTGTGTGGCTTTGCATAGCTTAACAGAGACTCTGGCACTATTTATGCAAAGTTTTGTTACATTTTAATAACTCTAGAGTTATTAGAGAGTGTATGTGTGCCTGTTTGCTTATACACTGTTAAGGAATTATCGTACTTGAAACTCCTCTGCATATAAAGTAAACGTTTAGATTATGGGAACTATAGTTACCAGCACAGCATAGTCTATTGAAACTATATGAAATTTCCAAACCAGCAGCTCCTTTATCTGTTGTGGTTCAAGTTTTCCTACAGCAGCTGTTCCTCAACCACTTGGTTGGCTTGTTATCCCAGCGAATTCTCAGAACCCTCAATCAAAAGGTTGGCTCACTGCTCGACCCACTTCACAGAGAGAGCCTGTCCCTCGCACTCCAGATTCCAAGACCCGCACTTAACATGTGCACACACACACACACACACACACAGACACTCGCACACATCAAGCTAAATCCAATAAAAAAATTGTTGCCTGCGATTAAAATTTAAATTTTATATACGACGAACGTTAGAGACGAGGCAAAAGTTGAAATGAAATGAGAGTATAAGAATATTGCCATAATTTCTATGGCAAGCGCGCTCATTCGCGCTTGTTTCAAAATTAAATTTAATAATGCAAACCGAAACGCTGAAATTTCATTAGGTAGCAAGGTGATATATATGTATATATATATATTTTTATTTTTTTTGGTCGTCCAGACCTGAATTGCTAGCAAATTTATCGGGGATGGCTGAGGGCTGCTGTTGACTGTGTGTGTGTGCATGTATGTGTGTGGTTTATTGATAAGTTTGCTGGCTGCTGCCCGCAGCGCTTGATTAGATTTTAGCCAGCTAACCAGTTCTACGTAGTTGCACTCCATATGTGAGAAATGAAAACCACAGCCCGAGCAACAACAACAACAACAGCAGCAGCAACCACAACGACAACAAGTAGTGGGCATGTGGGCGTGGTGGCATCGGGCGTTACATTATTTTTGTGAAAATTTGTTAAATATGCCAAACACGCAGCGATGCATGCAAAGTGGCCAACCAGCCAGGCCAACCATTCAACCTTCATCGCTCTCCCACTCTCTCTCTCTCTCTTTCTCTCGCTCGCTCGCCCTCATTTCACCCTTAAGTTTTTCATTTGGAGCACTCCCCCAACAGCATCCAGCCCGAAATCATCCAACCAGAGGCAAAAACGCAGCCAAGCCGAGGCTAACCAGCCGTGGCATTGCGTACGACGCGCTCACTCGCTCGCTTTGCAGCTCGCTGCTCATATTTGTGACATAAATAAGCTAAGCCCCGGTTCCGGAACCTACTCATTCGACCCCCCTTCCGTCCATACGGGCCCAGCCTCTTGCCTCGACAACGGGCAAATATGACCCGCTTACATACGGAATCAACAATTGCGAATAGAGTCGCACCTGCCGCACAGTGGCAACATTTTCCATAATCGTGCATAAAAATT